CCACTTTGTGTTGGTCTTTCACATTAAATTCCAGTGAAATATATTTATGTTTGTGGTTGTAATGTGACAAAATATGGAAAAGTTCAAGGGGTATGAAAACTTTTGCAAACCACTGTATATATATTCAGCTTTAAAAAAAAAAAGAGACTTCTCGACTGTACAGGTCCGGCAGTAACCAGACCTGGACTTGGTTCCAAATTAAATTAYCAGGCACGTCATGACTGACCGTGAAGCTTTCCTTTTTTAAAAACCTTAAAAGACTCGAAAGCATTATTTACTGACCTGTATGAGACTGGCCAGGACGTATCCCGTGTCTTTGCCGGACTTGTTGTGGATCTCCGTGGCCAACTTGATGACCTGGCCCGGGACGTAACCCTTCATGTCGCAGCGTGTTTTCAGCATCAGGGTTCCAGTCTTCACCAGGAGGTAGCTGAACTTCTTAGTGGTCACTGCATAACTCTCATTCTGAAACAAACCCAGACTGACAGTTAAACCTGCTGGGCGGACCCAAACCTCTGACGGGAAATAAAAAGTCTCACCTCGATGTCGGGAACCTCGTTGAGGTTGAGCGCGTTGAGGATGTAGAAGAGCCTCTGGGATTTGTAGTCCTTAGAGAAGCGAGGCGTGTCGATGGCCGCCTTCACGCGGTAAACGATCTTCCCGAAGGGTCCTTCGAAAGACGTGGGGACGGCGGCTGAAGGAGACGAACACAAGYGACAGGATGCACCAAAACATCGTCAGGTGGGGGGATTTATTCAATTCAGTTTTTTTTATAAGTCAAAACAAGTCGTCTCAGGGCAGCAGGTTGTGCTGAATCACTTCATCACAGTCTCCCATCCTGAGCAGCACAGTGGTGACAGTGGAGAGGAAAATCTCCCTTTGAACAGGAAGAAACCTCCAGCAGAACCAGAACCAGATGTCTGTTTATCTTTGACGTTTGTTCAGCAATGACTTAAAAACCAACTCAGCTACTATTTGTGCCACAATTTATCCTTTTTCAAAAGATCTGAACAATCTCTAACAGGAAGGAGCAAAAACCTGACGGGACGATTAAAATGGATAAAAAAATGATGGGGTTTAAAGTCGGGGTGCAGCGATACAGAAAAGTTACCCTACAAAAAATAAAAATAACCACGCCCTTCTGAACTTGTAATTTGTTGAAATCAATTCTGAACATTTGTTTAACACCAAGAGTCCAGTTTTTTAAGTAAATGTTGCTGAAACAGCAAGTCTCTGAGTGGATCTGTGCTCTACAGTGAAGCCTAGGTGGAGTAGTCGAACACAGATCCACTGATCCTTCAGCACAGAGCAGATTCACAAGACAAGTTGATAAAATAAATTATAAAAAGCCATATTGTTCCATAACCAGGGTGTGTTGTTCCATATAAAGTGTGTATTGATCCATACATACAGTAGTGTGTATTGATCCATACACA